TGTAGCATCTTACTACATACATTGAAGGACCTGAGCCTCCTCAAGAAGTAAAGTCGGCTCTGTCCCTTCTTGTAGATGGCCTCGATGTTCTTAGACCATTCCAGTCTATTGTCGATAGATTATTGGATGAGTGATGTGGCTCTTACTGACAAAATACAGCAAGTCACAGAGTTTACTATTAGGTGTAAATCCAAGGAAATCCAGAATTATAAAAGCTTGCTTTACCTCTGTGGCACTCTAGCAACTACATGCCACAGCTTAGTTCATCACAGTCCTGGTTGGTTGATGACGTATACCAGGCTTTAACTGTTAATGTCTGAACATTATATTTCAATCTCCAGGTGTTTAGGAGACCCTGCACGTCCTGTTTTTATTAACAAATAATCCATCTTGGAGAGACAATCAGATCACCCTGAAATTCTTGTTTGTGTGACCCTATATCTGAGTCTACAGTTTTTTGTCTTATATAGCCAACTAAATGTATTATTCTAGGCAAAACCATGCAATTTTAAGCTTTTAAGATGTTATATTTGGCTTTAGATTTTACTGTGCAAAACTAAAATGGACACATTTTAGTTCTCTTTCTGATTCTGTTACACGCAAGCATTCTAGTATATCGATTTTTATACGTTTCTTAGTAAAACGTTTGCCATTTTCAGTAGCCACAAATCCATCCTTAAGCCTACTTGACTTGTGATAACAAACTTTGGTTTAATAATATCACATAATGCATGTGTTGTTTGTAATGGGAAGATCATGTGCAAAGTAGGTTTAATGTTTTTTAAGCTGAAAAGAGTTCATATATTTTTAATTAAATTGAGCTTTACAGCTTGAAAACAAAACATTCTTTGAGGTCAGAGAAATGTAAGAGCTAATTGTTTTAAAGAGATTTATAGATCTGTTAATCACATTGGATTAGTGGAGGGGCCCAGTTAAGACAAACCTTTGTGATTAAATCCTGTGGATTCAATGGCTTCCTGAAAGGAGACCCTTACAATGCAAACTACTCCAGAACAAAGTAGAATTAAGTACTTGCTTCTGGCTTCTGGCAATCAATGCCTAATCCGCAATTACGATGTTTCCCATAATTGGAAGCTAATTATACATAAAAAATGCCAACACTTTACTTGTACCTAAGTCTTTTAAGCTTGAGAACATTGAGTATTTGTATTCTTAAATGAATTTTTATCACAGACTATTTAACTGCAGTTGTCATTCCAGAAGTAGTGCTGATATGGTCAGATAGACATGTAATGATGAGCCTGTACTTTAGGACTGCTGAAGGCTGCATGAAATATGCATATGTGACAGAAAATGCATAAAATGATTTCTAAAGTACAATTAGCCAAATTCATAAAATCTCCGGCATGTTGTATGGATCCCATATGTGTCTTTATAGCTGCTTCCGTGCAATTAAAGCATTTACTCTGCTGGCTCACAAAACTCAGAGGTCTGTCCTGCATCCTCTTAGAGCGTTAGTAGTCTGCTAAGGAAGACCCAAGTGGATGTATTTTATTAGATTCGATAACGGCTTAGTCATTTGAAGAGAAAGAAATATCTGACACGTAGCAGCTTTAAAACTATTCAGTAGGAAGCCATATGCGACCTACTGTGATGTAGCACCAAAACTATAAAGAATAATTAAAATATACTGTTTTGACCCAAATTTCCCATGGTGTTATCATGCTTTAAGACATTCTCAATACCCACTATGAAGCCATTTTATGTGTGGTGTGGGTTTTAGAAATATGAGAACATCAATTAATTGTGAACGGGGGACCAAGACTGTCAGAGCCACCTGTCCAATTATACGTTAAAATAAAGTTTCACTGTATCTCTTTCTTAACATCTTGATATAGTAGTTTTGGACTAATTAATTTAAATAATGTTGATT